CGACTTATATACTTCGATTTTTTAACGGGAGTTATCAAGTAAATAAATGATTCAGAAGTAAATGTTTATTTAACCCACCAAAACCTTTGAAAGTCCCGTAATATCCAATACATACTGACGTAGTTCCCTTGAAATAATGGTAAAGACTGGCTATTTGCTGTTTTATCATCTTTCTATTTTTAAATCTCAGTTTTTCTCTACGAAACTCTCGACTGTTCATGAGTTTAAGTGAACTTCAAAGCAAATATTACCATTTGAACAATCTCAGCAACATTGTGGTGGCCGAGTTAACCTCTATAGCCTAAGTTAATTGCCTTTTTTCTACGATGCTATACCATGGTTAGACAATTTTGAAAACATTTACAATACTCTAACAAAATTTTCTATTCATATTCTAGAGGAATCAGTAATAACATGTTTTGTGCACAATACACATAAGATTATTTTCCGTGGTCGAGATTCATGGATAAGTTCACAATTTGCAAAATGTCTAATCGAATTGTTTGTAAAGGGATTTGGAATAACCAGTACCATGCAATCCCCAATAATATACCCAAAATGCACAACCATTTTTAAAATATTTTTCTTCAAAACTCTTATACTTAACATCAGTTTTATAATACTAAACCTACCTTAATCATAACCTTGGACAATAACGAATTGTAAACAACCACGTAAGCTGCCAGCATATCGAAATATAGCACAATGCAACTGGCAACAATGTCCGATTTCTACCAATGATTTCTTCAAGGCCTGCTTGTGTCGCTAACATACAAGCAGACTTTTCTTGGCGAAATACACATTAAAAACTCTACTTTAGTTGCGTTTTTGTTTAACAGTACTGCCATTATTTAAAGGTAAAAAACACCGTTCGTTGAGATCAGTTTTTTTGTCGCTCAAAATGCATTGAGTCATTTTTTCTCATCGCCTGAATTTCTGAAGAAGGACTAGTGCCATTCCAAAGGTCACGCAGTTAAATTTCTATTGGATAGGAATTATCCCGCTCGTCACATTTTTGACCAATCAAAAGTGAGTTTCACTTACATTATTTTTGTGGTTCTTTGGAATTGTTACAAACCCAGTGGAATACATTGAACATATTTTAACGTGAGAGAAGGAAAAAAACACGGATGCATGCTGCATAAATGGATATCTCGAATTTACCAAACGTGAGCATTTACATGCCCATGTTCCCATCGGAATGCCGGAATTTGTATGAAAGCGGGCTTGCTCGAATATTAGTGACCCATATCAGTCTCGGCATTGCCCTCCTAGGAATTCCGGCCAATATATTCGCACTCATCGTTCTTCACGTTGAAAAGACCTGTCGAAGCCCAACCCACATTCTGCTAAGCGCTCTGGCGATTGAAGACATAATGATTATCCTCTTCTACAGCATCTACTACATTGCCATGCATTACTATGAATCCTATAATTTGCTGTGGTTGGGCTTTCTGCGATATATTGACACACCACTGTTCTATCTTGTCAACTGGATAAAAATGATCGAAATATACACGGTGGTGCTCCTAAGTCTCGAACGCTATACAGCTATCCGCTGGCCACTGAAAGCAGCCCGTTTATGTTCTGTCGGCCGAACGAAACGCGGCCTGCTTATCATTACACTGTTTTCGGGGATTTTCAAACTGCCCAACTTGATTCTGGACTATCGCGTTCTACGGTGGTCTCCAGCCTGCAAAGACTACAAGCTTGTAACCATCTTTCGGGAAAA